TTTTTTTTTTTTTTTTTTTTTTTTTTGTCTCCTATCCATGGGTGTCGACAATTAACCAAACACAAATGAATATGATGTATAGAACCTTTCAACGAGATAGTGCCTTTTCAACTCTCTCAAAATGGAATCTATTTCAAACATATATGACATGGTTCTTTTGTCGAAGTACAAATATCTAAATTTTCCATTTTTAGATACTTTTCCAGACCTATTGTCGATACTAAGTATAAGTAGCCGCCAAAATTTGTATCCATTTTTTGTGATATTATGCATGGATCAGCTATAACATGGCGAAACACAGACGTCTAAAGCTGATAAAGACTTGTTCATAAGAGAGAAAAAATATTGAGAGCAGCAACCACCTGATAAATTTCATGAAGGAGAGCAGCAGCTTCCTCAGGCTTACGTTCTAATAGAAGACCCTGAAAATGAACAAAAAGAAAATCAACTGTGTATGGCTTGACTGTTGAAAAAAATTTATCATCAATCACCTGCTTATTTATTTATTTATTTATTTTTTTCTCCTTGAATAAAAGAATAGTGAAACACTTGTTATATAAGCACTTTGGAAAACTAGAACCACATGGCTTCAATTAATTTTACAAATGAATGCAACAAATTCGAATACGCCGTGAATTTCATTACCTTAGCACGTGAAAATGCAGTTCCGAGAGTATGTTGCTCCATTGTTTCAGATCTCATCCTATCAAATTTCCATAGACAATCAACATCTCCTATGCAAAGGAAGTTTTGGAGATTGATAAGAAACTATTTAGTATAGTGAAAATAGTGTCCAAAGTACTTGGAAAAGTTGGTCACAATGATTTATGTATACCAATGTTTAAAAATATGCAAACAACCAAAACATTGAATAACTAACGTGGCTACCTATTTTGGAAGCAAATCTCATCAACGTCTCAAAAGATGTTCGACGAAATTTTACTCCAGCCTTGGAGAATTTTTTGAAGTATTTGGAAAGCAGCTCCCAATCATCAGCATTATAACAAATCCTGCAAAGGATCAATACAACACAGACTTTCAATCTTACAACGAATAATGCAGGAGATACATGACATGACTCGTAACTTCAGATTGCAAAAAAGAAAATATGTTATTTCGATCGAAACAGATGCACAAATCACAAGTCATGTATATTAATGCTAGATTATTTGTGGAAGACATATAACATAATCGAGCTGAATCAAACAAACCTGATTGTAAATGTCATGAGAATAACAAAATAAAATTACATACCTGAAAACAATATCTGCAGTACCAGGTTGTAGTGGCAATTTATTCCTTCTTATAAGTGTCACAACTTCAGCCATGAGTTTGAGATCATTGTGTTCTTCGGCATATGCCTGAACGGGAAGACAACAAGTAGATAAACAAATCAAAAAACTGAAAGCTCGACAATAAATATGATAGTATTAAATATATGATTAAGACCAGTAAATGGTGAGCAGATGCAACACTAGGCGTCAATCCATTCACATTATGAATCCACAGGGTCTTCTTTCCTGAGCACGAAAAAGAATATAGTGTAAACCAATTGGCGATGCTAAAATGTAGATTCAGCAACCAAGCTAGAAAGGAATGGACGTTTATGGCATACCAAAATGAAGGGCACCAGCCCGTATGCATGCTTTGGTGATCTCTTGGCAAAGATGAGAATTATAATTATCATGAATACGAAGATTTGATAGCCTCTACAACCAAAACCAAATGGGCAAATTAAAAAAGTGATCTCAGAAGGAAACATAATAATAAAAGTGTGAGAGCTAAGAGAGACTAACAAATATCCGCAGCCTTTTCAAAATGCCAAATAGAAGCTGAATATCCTCGTAGGTTTTACAATTTTCGATCAATGACCACATCCAAGCATTGGGAGGCATGCTTCTTTTAACCTCTACAGATTCAAGCATTTTATCATGTATTTCCTTGGCAGTGGCTACACAAAACAGAATAAAATCCTGTTACATAATTTCCGAAATTATGCCAAACAAACCAGAAAAGGCCAGCAGAATCAAGGAGAGCAAAAGAACAACCTGTAGCGGTGCCCTCGGCAGCATAAGCCTCTGATGAGAAAGAAGCATTAGGCATCGAGAGATACATGGGAATGGAACATTCTTGTGTCATTGATGAACAGCATTGCTGAGCTATGCCTGTTCATTTCATTGTCAAATAATGAACCTCAAATTTCATTTTCGAGCATTTCAAGCATTAGAAACTCCCCTCCTCCCATTTCCTAACCATACTACTTCAAATAACCAGAAAATCTGACCTAAACAACATAAATCCCGATACGCTTCCAGTAATTTTCAGCTCATAGACTTCCAAATGGACGAAATGAAACAGGAAAGATGACACAAGTAAGACGCAGCATTGAAGATTAGAAAAGGTAAAAACAATTACCAGAGATAGTCCGCCATTGATAAAAAGCTCGCCGATCCTCGTTTACAGGAAAATTCGAAACAAGAAATCGATCGAACTGGAGAAATATGGAAGAAGATTGGAGAATATTGGAGAGCCTACGAGCGCTCGAGACGACTTGCATTTCAACAAAGATGTGAAGAGCGGGAAGATTGAATCGGTTCTGCGATGGAACTCGGCTAGCGACGAAGGTGAAAGCCAAACCCAGGGAATCGATTTGATGAGGGTTTTGCAGGAATTGCTCGTCTACAAAACACCCCACGCTTCTACCGTGCAGCCTCACCACTAATTTGCATACTAATTATTATTTTAACCACTTGAAAATTTAATTGGCCTAATTTAGCTTTATTTTGGTGTATATAAATTTATAAATTTCAATTTAGTCATTTAATATATTTTTTATTTTAATTACGAATTTTGACATATATAAATATAAATAAATACAAATTTTTTAAAATTTAAATTGAAATTTAATAGATCCAAAGGTATATCAAATATTTTTAAAATTTGTGATATTAGATATAATTTTAAATTTTTGTTTCTAATAGATTTGTGATTTAAAAAAAAATTGCAAAATTTTAAACATTTTTTAAAATTTAGAAATTTAATAAATAAAATTAAAAGTTTAAGGCTTATTAAGCTCTTCTTTTCATTGAAGTCTAATTCAAAGAAATGGGACGGGTTTAAATAACGTTAAATTATAAAATCAAACATTAAATATTTAGAAGTAATTTCGATCATGTCAAAAGTAATTTTAACCATATTTAACATTCTATGAGTTTTTTTAGTACTTAATATTGTAGAATTAGATAGATAAGCTCATAAGATAGTCGAGGAACACATATATACGTATATATATCAAAATTACCCAAAACATGGCATACCCAATAGGGCCATTATATCAAATCAAAATAAAAATTGTAATTAAACATGAACCTAAAGAACCTCTTGCTTATAAACCAGAAGAGCAAAAGCAATGGAAGGAGAGAGATGTGTCTGAATGCGGTATGTATCATATTATAACAACAAGGAAAAAGGAAGATATTCACTGAAGTTGGTATCTTAGATGGATATAATAATAATAACAATAATAATAATATGCTTACAAATTCATTTCCCCATGCATTCTTTCTTGCATACCTGGGTTTCTTTAAGACTCCACCAATGGAGGAAGAATCACAAATGCAATCTTTGAAGTTGAATTAAGGAAGACAATACTGATACAGAAGCCACAACCAAACCCCCTTCACATGCCTTCTTCTTTTGAAGATATAAGAATCTATCACTGTGGGAGAACCGGGGGAGCAATGGCGCGCGTGTTGTACGATTGGCAGTGGCAGCATTTCTGCCCGATTATGTGAAAGTACGCTTCGGTCGTGTCGTTGCAGTCGTTGCACAATATCCAAACCTGCAAATCGTAAACGTAAACATAATTTTCTCCTTCTATCTTCATGAAACTTTCTTGGGATTGAAGAAAAAAGATTCAAGTACAGGAGAAATCACATAAGATAAGCACGAGCCCGCCTGATAGCCGGACAAAAGCGTGTGGTAGCAGAGGAAACCGAAGGGACACTAGAAGTTTTCACAGTGCAGGGTGTTTCTTGCATCATTGGCTCATAATAAAATGTTTATAACAAGCAAACATTGAGTGAATGTAAAAGATAATGTCAAGAAATCATCTAATCAAGTTGGCTGAATTAGTTCACCATTGATGTGAGATCCTACGTTGGTTGGAGAAGGGAACAAAATATTTCTTATAAGGGTATGGAAAATTCTCCCTAGCAAATTAAAAACCGTGTGGCTGACAGCGATACGTAACAGGCCAAAGCAGACAATATCTGCTAGCGGTGGGCTTGAGTTGTTACAAATGGCATCAGACCCAAACACCGGGCGGTGTGCTAGCGAGAACGCTGGGTCCCCAAGGGGGGTGTGGATTGCACGATCCCATATCAATTGGAGAGGGGAACAAAATATTTCTTAAAAGAGTGTGGAAACCTCTCCCTAGCAGATGCGTTTTAAAACCGTGAGACAGCGATACGTAACGGGCTAAAGCGAACAATATCTACTAGTGGTGGGTTTGAGATGTTAAAATTGAGGAATCTAATGCTTTCCCCAAAACTATTCTAGCAAATGTAAAGACATAAGCGGTAACACATATATACTCAATCAAGAGATTAGAGATCCGGGTCTCCCTAATAGAACTCCACGACAGAGAACAAATAGCTAAAGATGGTAAAAAAGCGGCAAAAACCTTTTTGTGACGATATTCCTCCGGCATGACTGTTGCTTCAATCTAAACAACACACAGCAGAGAAAATATTACAAGTCAAGATATGTTTAACAAAGGATAGTGCCTATGCATTCGTAGAACTCATATAACATGCATGATTTCTCTTTACTAAATAGACTAATTGTACTTAGTTATAGTTACCTCCTCGTCTAATTGTTTCCATGCTTTGGACATGTCAGTAACTGACTTGGAGCAAATGGGACAACAGTATCTGGGTTATGGCACAAATTATCATTATACATCTATCATGCAAAGACGTTATGGCTTTGAAACGAATGAAACAAAGACAAGCTTTACGACTTACTTATCACGTTTTATCATCTCGAAGTAACATTCACGATGCATTGTGTGGCCACATTTCATAACAGCCACGTCTTTCAGCGTGTCGAAAAGGAACTGTTAAACACCCAGCATGGAGGTGTGAGGATATAAATATGGGAACTCGCTTTTTAAAAAAGAACAGGAAAAGGGTGGGAAAAGACCTCATAACATATTGGACAGTGGTGCTGCATAGAGTTCTCAATACATGAATGATTGTCACGCAAATTAACGGAGTAACATGATCCTTTTAAGAGTATAAGAAAAAAAATTAGCACAAATGACCAGATTCTTTGTACTTGATGACATTTTTACTTGCAGAAAAAGTTAATAGATGGTGTAATGAATCAACAGCAGCAAGAAAAGAGAGCTCAATCCAACCCGGAGTGTTAGGAAAATCAAAGAGAGATTGAGGTCAAAGTAGGATGCCTAACCCTATAGGTTTTTTTAAAAAAAAAAACATTACACTGACAATCTATACTCTCATATTGCAATAATATTCATGTAAATCTAAGGAATAAACGGTAATGGCTCAAGCCCACTGCTAGCAGATATTGTCCTTTTTGGGCTTTCCCTTTCGGACTTTCTCAAAAAGTTTTTAAAATGTGTCTGCTAGGGAGAGGTTTCCACACCCTTACACAGAATGCTTTGTTCCCTCTCCAACCGATGTAGGATTTCACAATCCACCTCCCTTCGAAGCCCAGCGTTCTCGCTGGCACTCGTTTCCTTCTCCAATCGATGGGGGACCCTCCAATCCACCCCCCTTCAAGGCTCAGCCTCCTCGCTGACACATCGCTTAGTGTCTGGCTCTGATACCATTTGTAACGGTCCAAGCTCACTACTAGCAGATATTGTCCTCTTTGAGTTTTCCCTTTCGGGCTTCCCGCCAAGGTTTTAAAAACACGTATGCTAGGGAGAGGTTTGCACACCCTTATAAAGAATGTTTCGTTCTCCTCTCCAACCGAGGTGGGATTTCACATCAACAAAATGACAATCATCAATAAACGGGAGCAGAGCCTACCATTCATCCCATATAGAATCGCCTATTATATTTTGAAAATTTGGCTAACACAAGTAGAACAATTTGAAGATCCTATATCAGATTCGAAGAATTGCAAACATTATGAATACCATCAGTTTCTAAGCTCTAGCATACTTCTCAGAGTACATAGCTTAGGCTTTCTACTCTCATGAATAGAAGTTGACTTGTTATGTGGACAAGATATTAGAATGGTCAGCATAAAATTCAGTCGAACAAACCGAGCATTCACAATATCTGATGAACATAATAACATTAAAAGTATCAACAAACTGACTCAACTGATACTAACAAAAGCCTTAAAGAGTATCAAGATTTACCACACTTCTTGCAATGAAAATAGTTTTCTCGACCGCCAACCCTGTTTACATGAGATCAGTCAGCTCAAACGACCTGATTCAATAACCCCATTAACAGATTAAAAAGGAAAGATTAGAAAAGTTGACAAAGATTCCAAGCTAACCTACAAATCCCACAATCCTCACAGTGGAACTGCCCCTTCTCAATCTGCAGAGAAGCATGGAAACCATGAAGGAAAAGCAGGCTTACAGACGAAGAACAAACATACAACCACCAATTCTTGCTTTGTTAACTCCAAGTATACACATAATGAGCAAAAAACAAGAAACAAAAATCATAATATTTACATCATCATCAAAGAATTTGCATATTTCACAGAAGTACTCTCCCATATTCACACCACAATTCGTACAAACTCGAGCAACCTGCAAAACGGAGAAGTGAATAGTGATCAAGAAAATCACCATAAAGTAAATTAAGTTTTTACTTAAGTATGGAAATATCAAACTCAAAAAGCTATAATATGACAGAAATAACATTGACATACTGGCTGCTCCGTGTCACAAACCGCACAGACGACCTGGTTCAGGTTTGGGAAAAGATATCAATCGACTGCTATTGTACACTTTACACATAAGAGTAAAAATTCAACATAAGGAATGAGATAAAGATCAAAGAAAACCGTACTTGTTTAACGTCAAAACGATTGAGCTCATGACGATCAAAGGGTCTGCTCATCACACTCTAATGCATCAACAACAGAGAATGAAATACATAAGTAAGAGTAAACGAGAAAGTTAAGAACATCAACCAACAGCAAGAACAAACCGAAGCCTCGTTATGACAATGGCGACAGGGGTAGATCTCATTACAGCAAGAGGCTCGAATCCTACATCTCCTACGGTAATGCTGACATCTATAAACAAGAACCCACAAATTAAAACAGAACACAAATCGAAAACCCCCAGTTCAGCATCTGCAAATAGAGCATCAAAAGAACGAAAACATGAACAAAAAGAAGCAAATAAAAAAAGGAATGGAGATTTGGGGTTTTACCCATAACCCATCTTCCCAAAATCAAGACGATCATCAGCTGAGACTTCCATGAAAGCTCAGGCGGATAGGGAAGAGAGGCGACGGAAGAGTTTCTTAAAAGGGAAAGAAGGGCTGGTTGGTTGTCGCTTCAATATCCCCCAAAAAGGAAATGCCAAGAATGGTGGCCCCAGATTTATATCCACCTTCTGCATCTCGATCTGGCAAATTTCCTGCATAAAAAATTAGCAAGATAAAGCGATGCAATAAATTATTGTATATCTAAAAGAATGCCCACTTCCACAGAGAGAGAGAGAGAGAGGGGGGGGGGGGG